AAGCTCCGTAAGCATGAATAACATTTGAGGGACCGCAGTGAAATATATAAGTTTTCAACAATTAAGACTTTTTGTTGAACTATGAATTAACTAATGGGGTGCATGGCATCGTGCTTTAATGCAAATTGCTGGAACTTCCCGTACCGTAATTAAAAATCTTGGTACAAAACCCCAAAAAAAATTACACAAAATGTGTACACATTATTAAAATCTCTATAAAATGTCTGATAACATTTTTGTCCGCCAAATGACATTTTTTAACTTATTTTTTGGGGAGTTTATAACCGTTGGAACTACCTTCCCAAAAATTTAATCGGTTTTTCATCTTGTTAACACAAGTAAAATGTTTTTTGAATTATTAAAATCGGACGCTCCGTTCCCTAAAAACTGAGTTACCGTTTTTGGCACTTTTGCCCCGTATTTTTGGAACGATTAGACCTGCCTTTGCCAAAAACTAATCAGCACGTCTCCTTATCAATACGAATCGAATGTTTTTTGAATTATTCAAATTGGTTGATGGGTGTTCCCGAAACCGTCGACAAAAATTTGTATCCGCACACACACACACGCATACACACATACACACACACATACATCCATTTTTTCTAAGGTATTCCAAAATATTCAGAAACCTTTGAAACGTAAAGATATTTACAAATTTTTATTTTTGATTTTTTGCGATTACTTTAACTTACCCTACGGGTAGTTAAGTATTGTTAAAATCAGTCAACTTGGAAAGGTCCTTCTTAAAAGAAGTACTAGAGTGTTGACAAATTTCATCATAAGTTGGTGCATTTAATCAGGATTGCAAAATAGTATAATTCTTATAAACAAAATCTCACCATAGTACTTGGTTGCACCTATAAGCTCATAATTTTCAAAGAACATAATATAATTTTTTGCTCTTTTCTTTTTTTGGTAGAGGTCATTACTATCACCCCGTTTCGGCTTAACGTTAAATTCTGAGATACCCTGTGTAATGGATGATTATTAAAAATTGGAATTTAATATTTAACAGTGATTAATTTGCAGCATTTTTAAAAATGAGCTTTTATAAAGATAGTATTTGTTACTAACTTTTTTTACTATAAATTCCGATTGGATCTAAATATGGGCAAAAGTATGTGTGTATGTATGCATGTGAACCAAAATTTGACCACTCATCGGCGATTTTTCTAAAACAGCTAAACCGTTTTCAAAAATTAAAAGCCCCTCGATGATTCTGGATAAGAACTTGAGACGAGTAATATTGCAAAGTAATTTTTTAAATTGTTAATTTCTTGTTCACATTTTCGCAAAAATATCTGAACACATTTTGAAAGTTTTATAATTTTTTTCCACAAGTAATTGTTGATTTTTTGATGATATTTAATCTTTGCATGATGATTGAGTTTATAGCCTTGATGAACATCCTTAAATATTTTGGGCCTGCAAAAATTGATTTATTTATAAAAAATCATTAAAGTTTGGAATAATGAGAGGCACCACAATTTTAAATCTATATCATCACAATTTTAAAAGAAACTGAATTTCAATTTGAATTAATTAATCAAAATAAATAAGGCAAAAGGTTTTAAATGAATTTATTTATATTAAAAAGTTACTTTGCATAATATTATAACAAAAATTATATTGTTACAATCTCTGGTCCATTCTCAAGCATTTCGAATGTTGAATACTGTAAATTAATCTTTGAGCAACAGTTATTTGCTGTAAACATATAAATCATCTGCACAAAATTTATTTGAATTTTCTTTATCTTGTGTTTGCTTCCAAGTTTTAATGATTTATATGTTCAAATATCTGTACCACGAATTTGTATTATGGACACATAAGTAATTATTCTTCATTTCTTTCCGCAGGCCTATGTGGACTTAGTCCAGGCTTGGGGCTGGAGGACTTTCACGATTATTTACGAGAACAACGAAGGCCTAGTACGACTTCAGGAACTTCTTAAATCTCATGGATTATCGGAGTTTCCGATTGCCGTACATCAACTCGGCGAAGGATCAGATCACAGGTAAAACTTGCTATCCTTTTAATTAAATCTTAATTAAATGTCATAAATTCTTATAAGCTTCTGATGAAATGTTTTATTTTGTCGATTAATATAGAATTAGGAGTTGATAACTTTTTGGAGAAATAAAACTTTTGGGTTAAGATATCTGCGTCGTCAGGCTGGATTTAGATAATTATTGCGTTTGGAATACAAAAATTTAATTCGTAAAGAGCAAAAAACTTGAGCTTGACCTTTTTTAACACAATACGTAAAATGTTTCAGTATTATTATAGATGCTAGTTAAATATTTGGATTTTGTATGCTTGCGGCAGAAGATGAAGTGACTAATCAAAAAATTAAAATAATTATACTTCTTGCAAACAAATCGCCACTTTGCTTTACCAAAATCATTATGTCATTATATCATTATGTAGATATTTATTGAACAAATATCATATATTCTGCGTAGTATTTTATGCCACGGATTATATTTTACATAGAGAAAATTTAATATAATAATTATGAGGCAATACAAATAGTCATTAGTTTTAGGAAAGAATGATAACATTCAAATACTTGCTAGTTTTTAATAAATAAATTTATTAAATTATTGAAAGTAATTTACTAAAATATGATTATTGAAACATATAAAAAATGCTCATTAAATTTGCATATACCCACATTAGATTACTTTCTACCAACAATGTAATTGTTAATAAAAGTAATCATTATTAATAAAAGATTTAATGATATTTGAAGCAAATTTAGATTTATCTGTGAACCATGTGTCATTTATCGCCTTATGTGTACTATTTGAAAAATTAAAAAAAATTTGATATAAAAAATCATGATATATTGCCGGAAAAGATTTTTTTTAGTTTTTCACATCATACCTACCGCATGTTGAATTGAAATATTAGATTTTACGTTTGATCGATATATTCGAATTAAACTTTTCGAAGACTAGTATCGGCACTAACACAATTTAACTTTTATTCAATTAAATTCAGAAAAACCAAATTGAGACGTCAAAATCACTTTGATTTTTTGTTTAAAATAAAATGTGCATCTAATGTTTAAATACTTGTTTTAAATGCAATAATAAAAATATAAAATAAAACATTCTGTCTTCAAAGTAATATTGGTATTGAACAAAAGATAATATAATATGATAATTTTAAGAATTATACAAAATATTGAATTTGTCTATATTAAATTTATGAACCAAAAATGCTCAAATTTGAGCAAAATAAAGTTAGAGTTTCGAATTTAAATTAGTGCAAAAATAATATTGAACTAGCAGTGTATGACATCATGCCTTAAGGCAATATGCTGGAACTTTCCGTGCCAAATATTTTTTTTTTCAAATATAATAATTTTTTTTTTAACTTTAAAAGTACTTGATTTTTGATTATTTTAAAATTTTTGAAAAAATGACTTTTTTGAAAGAAGGCTTCTTTGAAAAAAATCATTTTTTTACACTTTGAAATATTTTGAAAAATTTGAATTTTTTTCAAAGCAATATAGCTTCTTTAGCAGCATAAAGAAAAAATATGGAAGCGCGTAAGTGCCGCGTTGCAGACTAACGGAATCCTTAGTAATGTTCACAAAATTTTTACTTATTATTATATTAAAATCTCTACAATATATATGATGATTTGATGTGCATCTAATTTTTTACTGCCAAATAGCATGTTTTTTTACTTTTTTTTCTCGATCTTCGAAACCGCGAGACCTGCCTTCCCAAAAATTTATTTCAATATAAATAAAATATTTTTTCACTCATACAAATCGGACGCTCCATTTTCTCAAAAAATCAAATCATTTTCTGCACTTTTCGTCTCGTATTTTGGAAACGGCTAGGCCTATGCCTTTACCAAAAACTAATCAGCACCTCTCCTTATCTATACGAATTGAATGTTTTTTTAAATATTCAAATCGGTTGACCCGTGTTCCCGAAATCGTCGACAAAAAAACACACACACACAAACACATAAACAAACACAAACACACACACATTCACGCACAAACACACACACATTCATTTCTTCTAAGGTATGCCAAAATGTTCAGAAAACGTAAAACTATGCAAAAAATTGTATTTTCGATTTTTTGCGATTACTATACTTTACCCTACGGCAAGTTAATTATATCCACAAAAAGTACAGTGTAAAAGTACACATGAACAAATACAAACACATACACAAACACACACACACATACAGGCATAAACACACACATATCCATTTCTTCTAAGGTATGCCAAAATGTTCAGAAAACGTAAAACTATGCAAAAAATTGTATTTTCGATTTTTTGCGATTACTGTACTTTACCCTACGGCAAGTTAATTATATCCACAAAAAGTACAGCAAAATTTTAAATTGTGTCTTTTTGTATTGAAAATATTTTATTAATGATGTCTCGTATTCATATTGCCTCATATGATATTGAATTTGTTATAAACAGACGAATCAGTTAGTTTTCTGTTGAAATTTGTATTAACAGCACTTATTAACTTCCCGTGGGGCAAGTTATAGTAATCGCAAAAAAATCAAAAGTGAAAATTTTTATATATCTTTACGTTTCAGAGGTTTCTGAACATTTTGGCATACCTTAGAAAAAATGGATGTATGTGTGTGTGTGAGTTTATGTATGTATGTACGTGTGTGTATGTATGTGCGGATACAAATTTTCGTCGACGATTTCGGGAACACGGATCAACCGATTTAAATAATTCAAAAAACATTCGATTTGTATTGATAAGGAGACATGCTGATTAGTTTTTGGCGAAGGCAGGTCTAGCCGTTCCGAAGATACGGGGCAAAAAGTGCCGAAAACGGTAACTCAGTTTTTAAGAGAACGGAGCGTCCGATTTGAATAATTCAAAAAACATTTCACTTGTATTGAGAAGATGAAGAATCGATAAAATTTTCATGAAGGTAGGAGTAGCGGTTTCGGAGATATGGAAGAAAAAGTAAAAAAATGAGCCATTTGGCGGTCAAAAATGATCATTAGGCATATGCACATCAAATTATCAGATATTTTATAGAGATTTTAACAATAAGTATACATTTTGTTAACATTCCCATGGGTTCCGTACCAATGCTTATGTGTTAGACAGCGACGCAGCGCTTACACGCTTTATATTTTGTCCCTATGCAGTTAAAGCAGTACGATTGCTTTGAAAAAAAAAAGTTCAGATCTTCCACAATATGTCAAAAAAAAGAAAAAAAATTTTTTTTTCAAAAAAAAAAATTTTTTTTTAAAAATTTTTTTTTTCAAAAAAAAGTAATTTTTTGTCGAATTTATAGTTTCTCAAAAATCGTATTTTTTCAAAGTAAATTTTTTTCAAAAATGTTAATCGTTTTTAAAAAAATAATAATTTTTGGTACGGGAAGTTCCAGCAATTTGCCTTAAGGCACGATGCCTTAATTGCCTTAAGACAGAATTCCACTTACTGCTAGTTAATTTTAGCTCTGAAAATAACATAGATATGTGAAAACGTTGAAATAACATCTTTTTATATATTATGTAGAAAATATTACATTAACAACGTTTTTTACGTTATTATAGTCGTTTTTATCCTCCTCTCTAGCCTTAATGCAAATGAAGCTTCCACATACCTTCCATATTATTACAATTACGTCGGCTGCAGAAACTTTCTCATCCTGAATCATATGAATTATTTTGTTTTTGTGAAATTATCCTAGTTGCTAATGAGATATTTATCTTGCAGATTTCATGGAACATTTCTAATATATACGTTGTATAATTTCAGACCATTGCTTAAGCAAATCAAGAATTCTGCAGAGTCACATATCGTGTTAGACTGTTCAACCGATAGAATATACGATGTTCTCAAACAAGCTCAACAGATAGGAATGATGAGCGATTATCATAGCTATCTAATCACGTCACTGGTAATTAATTTTATCATTTATTACTATAATTAATTATCTCTGTACTGAATAATATGGTATTTTGTATTTTGAATGTTTTGCATGTTCTATTTAATATTGTGTATTGTGTTCGAAATGTCATTATGATAATCCGTTGCCGACGTTTATTGATGATTTCTAGATCGTAATTGCGATTATATTTTTATTATATTTTTTAATGAATTGTGTTCATTAACAATTTTTCAAACATGACAGTGAATTTTACATTCTCTTACTTCGAAGATTTTCATAAACTGGTCAAACTGGCTAAAACGATGTGTTGGAAAACAGAATTGTTTTTTTTTTTAATAAATAAACTGGATTTTACTTTTTTTAAACGGGTAAAGACTGCATTGTGTTTAAAGGCAATCTGGAACTTCTCTTTCAGAAATTATCCATTAGCAAAATAAAAATAATTATCATCAAAATTTTAAATATTTTAAATATTTTAAAATAATCATTGTGAATACTAATAATATAAGAGCTCGTATTTGGGTTACGACCTTCATCTATAATATTTTCACACCGTGGACACAATCAATATGCTTTTTGAATCACTCTAATCGGATGCGCCGTTATATCAAAAACTAATATTCCTTGTGCTTATTGCTCCGAATCTTTGAGACCGCCAGACTTGCCTTTGCAAAAAAAGTAATCAATTATTTACTCAGTCATTAGTTAAAACCAGTCACAAGTTTTTTGAATTATTCCAATTAGATGTGCTGTTGTATCAAAGACTGGTTGTTTTCGCGCTTTTTGCTTCATATCTCCAGCGCATCACCCCATCAACAAAAATCGAATGTTTTTTCAATTATTCAAATAAGTTGATATGTGCTCTCCATATCGTGGACAAAGAATTGTTTCCAAACACACACATACATATACATATAAATTTTTATGAGGTGTGCAAAAATATTCAGAAACCACTAAAACGTAAAGATATTCAAAAATTTACGTTTTTGATTTTTTTGCAATTATCATAATGTACTCAACGGAAAATTAATAAAATAAAATGATTTTAAATAAATAAATAAATAAATATATATATATATATATATATATATATATATATATATATATATATATCTTGCTCATATCATTACGTTTTAAAATCTCTTCGTTCACTTAATTTTCCTTATAGATGTTCAGATACATTTTTTCCATATTCACGATTTCAAGTGCGATTTTTGATTTTTATTTTTCGCTTATCGTAGAATCCAAGACACTGGTTTTAGTTTATTTTATTTAGTAAATTCGGTTTGGAGTGATCGAAATTTATTATCACAAATTCAAATTTTTATTTTGTTATATATACTTTAAAGAAACAATTTGAGATATAATTCAATATACCGGTATTTGTAATTTTCATCAAATTTTTATGAACTTTATTACAGCTTTTACAGTTGTATCATATATCATACATTTAATTCTAGAACTTATTTTATTTATGATAATGTAAATTATTTTACAAGTTTAGCAGCCAATTTCCTAAATTTTATTCATAGTACATTTTTGTTCATTTTCATTTACAAGAAAAGCCAATTTCAAGATTTCGTGTGCGTATTATATACATGCAATTTTTTGCTAATGTAGAATCTAAAATATTGGTTTCTGTTGATTTTATATAATAAATTTTGTTTAAATGTTCCAAAATACTGTACATTCTGCCATGAGTTAAGTCAGTCAAAAAAATTGTGTGATAGTGAATTTTATTTTTGAATACCGCTATATGCATAAATTTTTTTAAGTTTTCTATAGCGAATTTGTTTTAAACATGCATATTCAATGTGCATATATAAATCTAGATATTGCAAATGTATTTATTTTTCATTGAATATATCAAAGAAAGATTTTGCTTGCCTTCGGCGTCATCAGCTGTTACTTCCCTTGCATATGTTGCATTTTCTTATTGGATTGTCGCAAAATAAATCCGAAAACAAATTTTGTAGTAACAAAATTTACATTATATCATAGCCCCTTGTACGATATGGATTTAGAAAAACTTAAATACAAAATTCAGGCAAATGATGCCGAATTTAAAAGGCTATTTATATTATCATCAACAAAGTAAGTATATAATCAATACGAGAAGACATAATTCAACTAAAATAAATGTGTAATATTATCAAACATACATTATTTTATATTTATAATTTATTTATTCTCATTTATTATTTTTTATTTATAATTCATATTTATTGCTTTTTATTATTAATTCAGAACAATTATTCAACTTCTTGCAACGCTGAGTGTTTCTTTAATTAAATTTTTATAATTTAAAGTTTTTTTAATTAAAATACTAACCGCATTGAGAGCAAACAGCGTAATGCATCTCGACTTTTTTAACATTTCACTTTTTTAGACTTGTATTAAACTCTTATTTTAGTGTGGTAATAGTTCATTTCTTACAAGTTTTTGGTTTCCTCTGTTACTATTTTAATTTCATCTGAAGTTTTTAGTCATTGATATTTTAACTTGTGTTATACAACTTTATTCGAAATAAAGTTGACTTCGATGTATAAATAGCAATAGTATATAAGGTAATTATTTAAAATTTAATAGGGCATGAGTTCTTATTTCAAAGTTATTATTTTTGAATGTAAAGTTTTTTTAAGAATTATAAGATTTGTTGAAAACAAATTTTTCGGATTTTAGCGAAAAATTATTTTTAGTAGGTATAGAGGAGCAAGAGGCTTATTGTAATTTTTTTTATTCAATACATCTCAAGATCCACTAATTATACTTTCCTTCACCCAATCCAATAAGAATATTTCACAAATATTGTTCATTATTTCAAAATTAATCATTATCTAGGAAAAGTGCGCCGTTACAACTTACCCCGTATTGTAACATCTACGAGGGTAAGTAATAACGATAAAAAACCATAGAAATATTTATAAAAATTCATTTTTTATTTAGTTTTAATAAAATTGATATATTTCTAAATATTTTCTTTTATTAGTAAAAGTTTTATTTCAACTAACTCCAGGTGTGATATTAATTAAGATGACTATTTAAACAATTTAGCAATCACAAAAACTGTTACATATTATCGAAGATTGACGAATTCGAAATGAAATAAGATATGTAAATTTCATAGCAAATCGGTTATAATAATGCAAACCGAAGTTTTATGATAGATCAATTTTATATTACCTCTCAAAAATGACGCACCTGCACAGTCCTGTTTATTGCGTCGGCCATGACAATATTATGCAGGACTGTTCACTACATGTCAATCTAGAGTCTAGATTCTAAACAAAAAAATATTTCAATATGGTTTAGGATTGTATCGAAAAATTCCTGTTACTCGTTACTAGTTACCCCTGTTACAGATAGCATAGTTATTATTTGCATTTTATGATTTGGCCCGATAATTCAATAAACTAAAATGTACGGATTTGGTGTTCTAATAGTATCTCACATAATACTAAAGCTGATGTGGTTATTTCAAAACACTTGAAAATGCTTAATCTACCGAACATGCTGTAAATAGCTGAAATAGCTACGTTCTACAAATTTCAATAGCCGTTCTAGAAAGTGCTGGTAATGAGAATTTTGATGTAGTCAAAGGATACCAATTCTAAATGTTCATATTTAGATGGAACCCTTATAATTTAATTAAACCCGTAGAGAATCCGCTCAAAATAATTGTAGATGAACATATTTTTTTGATAAATTTGTTATCTGCAGGTGAAATCTATCTGCCGACTTACTAAATGCAATATGTAGTTCACTTTGTGTTTTATGTGCATTTTATGAAATTCATTTACATATCTATCTGATGAAATGATATACATATTAAATACTTATACGTACTAATAAATACTGGATTCGATTCCCTATTACCACATGCAACTCATTTTTATTCACAAGAACAATTCGCCACGTTTAATCCTTATGAGTTTTAATTTACATTCACTACTATAGTTCCATAAATCTTTCGCCGCAAGCAGAACTACGATCTTAAATTATATATCTGGTGCTTTAATTAATTTTCGCTTGTATATAATCGAGATTTTGCCTTCTAAGATTCACAATGAAATTGCACAAATTGTTTTGCTTGCGTTTATGATTTGTTTCACAATGCTTCAAGCCATCGAGTTTCCATAAAGCGACTGTATTAAGTCGCAAGGGGCTAAAGTTTAAAGTGCCACTGGAGCAGAGATAGAGATTATAATTGGCGAGATTCAATTTCGATATCGGATTTAACTTTTGAAAAAGATATCTTAGGATTTTGCCAACATTATATCTAGGATGCGAAAGTTAACTCTTGTGAGATATAAAATCATCTTGTGCAACGATAGTTTCCATATGTTTCTTTACAGAAGTATGTATCATTCTGTTCACACAAGTGCATGATAATACTGCAAGAAAATTGTAAATATTTCTGTGAAGAAGTCTGCTGGTGCACATTCCGTTATTGAATGCATTCGGAGAAGAAAGTTTTATATGTACACAAACACATACACACACACATATATATATATATATATATGATATTCAGTTTTCAGGGCAATACATCAATTAAAAAATTTGTATGACTTTAAAACATTTTTATTTTTTCCATACGTTTCGACACATAGTTTTGTGTCATCTTCAGTGGACTATGTAATTGTAATAATCCTAATTATTTCCTAGTTATAATTGTTCACAATGCACAATGAAACCAATTCTTGTCACTTTAAATGTAACCATAATAATTTTTTGAATGAGTTATTTTATGAATTTGTAAAATACATCCCGCTATACTGTATTCCGATGCAAGAGTCATGAGTCAAGAGTCACTCTTGCATCGGAATACAGTATAGCGGGATGTATTTTACAAATTCATAAAATAACTCATTCAAAAAATTATTATGGTTACATTTAAAGTGACAAGAATTGGTTTCATTGTGCATTGTGAACAATTATAACTAGGAAATAATTAGGATTATTACAATTACATAGTCCACTGAAGATGACACAAAACTATGTGTCGA